TCCATTCTACCTTGCTCTTTGCTGTCACTTGCTATTTAAATGTTCCTTTGCAACAAGTGCAGGGACATGGCTGCTCCACATATCCCAGTGAATTCAGGTCTACCTCCAAATGGCAGAATGAGACCTTACCTCATGGCCTCCAGGATCTTATTATAGATCACATCCCAACTCTCAAACCACTTGTCAGCAAGGATCTCAGATCAGTGAAACCCTCTCTGGTAAGCACCTGTTAGAAAAGGAATAAAGGAGCTGCTAAAAGCCATGTTTCCATGCAACACGACAAAACATACACAAAATTACATTTCTCCTAAATGATCACCCAGGAGAAGAGGCAGAAACTGTTGCCTAGTACAGCTGGATCATTAACAGTCAAACAAAACTCTGTAGGGGGCTTGGAGAGGATTAGTTGCTAACTTTAATGGTGGCTTATCTTTTTATTCCACCCCTGCATCTAATTTTTGTATTCCTTCAGCAAAATTCCCTTTAACAGCCATGGGGGTAAGATTAGGTGCCTATGCTTTGTAGGCAGAATACCCCTCCTCAGAATATTTATTCAACATCTTGCCATCCTCATAATACCTAGTTGTTATTTGCAAATTCCATCACTCTCCTAAGAAAAGATCTAGCTAGCTTCTCTTTTCAGTTATGTCTCCAATCTCCCTGTATCTCCTGGGTTCCCTCCCTCCAGAATTGTTAGTACGTGGTTTGCTACCATAGTGGGTAATCCTGTTTGGAGATAATCTCATGTACATGGTATCCATCCCACAAAGCAGCCTTGATAATAGTTCTCTCACATAGTGTATAAGTAATAAGTAATGGCAACTTCAGGAAGGCTATGTGAGCTTAAGGTCTCAGGACTCCTGTGTTCTGCTCTTGGCTTGACCACAGGTTTTGACCTTGAATAAGCTATTTAGTATGTGCTGTAATTTCTCCAAGTGTAAATGGTCATGATAGTACTCCTCTACCACATAGTGGTGTTATGTGGCTTAACCTAGTAATGCTTATAAAATGTTTTGAGATTCTTGGATTGCAAGAACCACAGAACTGGAAATCATCATTTACATTATTCCAGTCCAAGGTATGGGCCTTGAGTTCTGCTGGCAGGAGAATGGGATGTGCAAAGTCTGCAGAGAATTTTGTGGAGAAATAGAGGATGTCAACCTCCAGCATAGTCAAGCTGGTATGGAAATTCACTCAGAAATGTCAAAGAAAGTAGCTTTTAAAATAGCAAAGCAATATATATAAATGCAAATGTCTGACACTTTAACAGCAAAGTTGAGTTGGTTGGGGTCTATTTTTAATCAAAGGCAAATCAAACAACGCTACAGCAAAGCAAAGATCAGGGTGGTGCCAGTCTCAGTATCACTATATAAATAGTGCTATAAACCTGCCTAGCATTTAACAGAGAAACACAGACTGCATGGTTGCTACTCAGAACAGTTTAAAGTCTAGTGGCTTGATCCTGCTGTCAGGACTACCCAGAATTAATCCATGGGTCCTTCAGCATGGAGGTCCCTACCAGATTGGGGCCCATATGTCCAAGTTCTTATGTCACTAGTATATAGAGTATGTAACCAATACCATGGTCCTGTGCCAGGAGGCCTTCTGAGATCACAACAGTTAATATTAGAGCCTCTTATCTCAAAACCAGGAAAATACATTAATTAAAAACAAACAAACAACGTTACCCGAGGTCTTACAAGGCCTATAAAACCTGTGTTTAATATTCATAATGAGTATCCAAGAATGTCTGATATAACCTTTTTCCATAGCCATCAAGTGTGAAGACTTATGGAAAATTACCATATTTTGTGCATCTGTATTACAAATGGTTCTCCCCTTCCCCATGGAAAACTTCCGATTTTCGGTGCATTGTTGATTTTGTTGTTTAATTAAAAGTATTCTTTTCTGCAAAAGGAAGCCACTTTACAAGAACAGTTTTGTTTAGTAAAAAAAAATCTTTTGCAAATAACATTGACATATGTACTTGACCACTTGTAACACACACACATACACACACACACACACACACACACGACTGAAGAATTTCTAAATGGGTCAAATGTACCATTAATAAAACAGAAACCCATACCATGGCCTTCCCTTACCAATAACAGATCTCCACAAACACAACTAAAAAGGAAACCAACAACTGCATTTATTCAAATCTTACCCACAGCAGACAAAATGA